TGCGAGTAGAGAACAATCATACCGATCAACGACATCAATCTCCAATTTTCTCTTCATTGCCAGTTCAAGTTCCCTCTTCTGCTCTCCCTTCCATCTCAAGGGCCTCAGGGTGTGAACCATTCCTTTCTTGTGAGGACTTTAGAAGCCGGTCCGGGAACATCACCATCACATTCTTTTGCAATGAAATGTTTTCTGGGCTGCCCATTTTCGATATTTCCCTCGATAGTCAGATAGTTACAGAGATGGTTTTCTCCCCTCTTCTAAACGGGATAATAGGTCGAAAGCGCCCACGCGGAAACCTTTTTAGTTTCGTGCTACCAAACTTTTCCCATTTGGCAAGAATGGCCTACCGAAAAATGAATCTGGTGCCGATACAGCGCCAGGTTCATGATCCAGTAGGAATGTGCCAAACAATCTGGACCCAATCTCAGCCTTTTGATTTTAACATCCGACGACCTGTGTACCTCGTGGGCCCTTCTTGCCAAACGAGAAAAGTTTGGGTGCACCAAACCACAAAGGTTTCCGCATGGGCGCTTTGCCACTTTCCACCAATAACCCCCTTCAGGGCAACTCCATCCTAATCCCTCACATATCTCCTCCTTTTTATGTATTACAAGTGGACCCGCCGCAGCTACGTTGCGGCCAAAGGCGGGGGGGGGGGGAAGGAGACATAAATTTGCACACTCACGTGATACGGGGAGGACACAAACATGCCAGCCCCAAAGGTCATTCTGTCGGGTCCATATTTGTGAAGGGACATTCAAGGATTCCTTGCATTCTGTGTCTCTCTTTGATGCAGTGGTATTTTCAATAGCCATAGACAAACGGGGGGCCGGTGAAAAGCGGTTGTTGTAAGTAGCAGAGATGATTGAAATGGCAAAACAAATTTGTAGATATCGTAAAGTTAAAGAAAGATGGAAGGTGCAGAGAAAGATGACAGAATTGGAGTTGACCAAAGACGTTTGTTTTCTACTTTCCAACAACGTGTCACATAAACTCTCAGACTCTTAAATTGTATAATCCCAATGAAACAGGTTGCCGTCACTTGACCATGCACATATCTCTATAAAAACGAAATGCTCCTGAAATATTCTCAGGAATTTGAGTTTAAGTTTAATTGTGGAGGCCAAAACAAATTTGCACATATTGTATCAACTGCACTTTGAGTCTTAGATATTTTTGTTGATATGTGGTCTTCATGCAATCTCATTTGTAGCTGGCAGCTGTATTTTCAGTTGTTGGTCTTGCATTGTAGTCCCAATTCTAGTCCCAATTGTGAGTCTTCGTGGTCACTCCAAATCTTGGATATCTCGGTTCATATGCGGTCTTCATCCGATGAGATTTGTGGTCGGTCTTCTGCACATTGCACTTCCAATCTTGTATCTTGAGTTGAGTGTTCGTGGTTGTAGACTCGCATGAAGAAACATATATGTCGTCTTGTCCATTCTTCGGGTTCAAGTGCTTGGACAGCCTGTTGAACAACAGTGTTGCGGTACATGACATATGGAAGCTCTGGAGGTCTGTCACCGTCATAATAGATACGAATGAGAGCATTTATGCATTGCCAACTGTGACGTTGCGAATGGATGGTGTGGAGGGCATATGTGTGACGTGTTGATAGGATGTTGTGAATTTCTGTTATCGCACGGGCCGTTCCAAATCGTCTGAGAGGATGTGACCAATCCGTCGAACTAAGAAGAGAGGAATGTGAAGATTGATCGTGTCGAGCAAGAAAAGTTATGTGGAATGAAAAGCGGTTGGTAGCATCAATGATGCGATCATTTTTGTACTTTGCAAGCCCTTCAGTAGTACCATGAGTGTGCAAAAGAGTGTTAAACAACAGTCGGTCGAGGAATTCTTTTATACGGATAAATATCGCTTCAGGGCGAGATGCTGGATGTAGTTTATTTGCTTTTCGTTCACGTTGTGTTGCATAACTCTCAAAAAAGGAGAAAATGCTCGGAGCGCAAATAGCCTTATCAGTCTTTACGAAATCCTCACATAGAATTTGACGGATGACGTCGTCAACATTTTTTGTGGTCAGATAATCTTTCCATGCAGTCCATTGTGAAGGGTCGTTGGGTGGCAACCGAAGTTCATGTGAAGGAGATGCTATTTTTGGGATGTCAACTGAAAGTAGGGCAGTATCAAGTTCTGTGATGTCAGGTTGTGAGAGAGGTTGTGACAGTGTTGTCATAGCAGCAGCAAGCTGTGTATCAGCTGATGTGCTTGCAGTAGATTCTGATATTGCAGTTCTTGTTGTCGTTGATGACGAAGCAGGCAATGTTGAGGAGCAGGCCCAGTTCTTTGGCGTTTATCAGAAGATAGCGAATCTGGAACATGAAAGACGGTGGAGAATAGAAGTGTAGTTAGAGAATATGAAAAATGGATTGGAAATTCAAGAGCAATTAGTTTGAAAAGAAATAAGTTTCATATTCTGGTTCAGGTATTTTGAGCGTATTTAATTGAGAATTTCTTTGTACACGATGTTTGTTGTTTGTTGAATTGGAGAGGGCAAAGCAAAGCGTATGTGTGCAGGGTCACCTATTCTAGATGCAGCAACGTAAAGTTGGCCGTGTGCGAATGGCGGATGATGAAGATCAATGCCAGCGTGTTTGACTGATTGACCTTGAGATTTGTTGATTGTGATAGCAAAAGCGGGGCGGATGGCGAATTGTCGTCTTTGCCAAGGAAAAGGACATGTGAAATCAGTGATTGTCAGCACTATCCGCGGGAGGAGAATTGCTTCAAGTGATGGTAGGGTGTGGTCATGGAGGAGTCTGTTGTTTGTAACAGAATCGACTATTAATCGCGTTCCATTACATAAGTCATTTCGCATAGCAATATTGCGTAACACTATAACAGGTGCAGATTTTTAATTGCGGGGAATGTGGGGTGGTAAAGATGGGAGGTCAAGAGTGTTAATGTCAGGGTATTCTGATGCGAATTTGCACTAAGACATGTGATGTCGTTGTCGGGAAGTGAATCGAGTATAATATTATTTAATGTTGAAACAAATTTATTTTTGGGTGCCAACATAAGTCGTTCGGCGAGCCAATCAGGATTTTGAAAATTGGTTTGGAGATTTGGAAATGTCCAATCAATCAGGTCAGAAGCACCGTCGTGAAGGCATAGGTTCAGAAGCACCGTCCTGAAGGCATAGGTGAGGTGGAAGTGGAATAGTATTTGGAGGTGTGTTATGAGGGTGATCGAATTCACCATTTCCGAGTGTGAGGAACCATTGTGCATAGTTTTGTCCTTCAGGAGTATTGATTTGTGTTAAGACGCGGATGTTTTCAGAGAGGTGCATGGTTTCGAAATGTTGCCATAAGTTTGATTATTTAATGCAAACTTTTGTTGTTTGTGCACGTGTACCTTTTGTAACAATAGGAAGAATTTGTCGGAAGTCGCCGCCAAGTACAATGATTTTACCGCCAAAGGGAAGCGTGCATGAGCAAATATCTTGTAATGTTCGTTTTAATGATTGAATGTGGAATTTGTGTGTTATTGTTGCTTCATCCCATAGGATAATAGCAGTCATACGAATGATGTCAGCGAGTGCAGATTGTTTTGGAATATCTAAGGTTGCAGTTTCGGAAGGCTATGTTGCACGCCTGGCCGCGGCTGGGGGGGTCTAGTCGGCCGCTAAATCGGTCATGTTCGGCCTCGGCCGACCAGTCGAGTTCGGTGCAACATTTTTTTTTTCGCTTTTTCACGTCGGAAAATATATATATATATATATATATATGGGCGTGTAGGGCTGAAAAAGCCCTACACGCCCATTTTTT